TAGATAGATAGATAGATAGCATTTATATAGCGCAATTCCCCACTCAACAGCAAGCTCTACGCGCTTCACAATCTATACAATTATCCCAGCAGACCTGAGAGCATTCTGAAACAACTTCAACATCCTGGGAAACGTACAGTGCGAGCAGCCTTTTATAGGCGCTAAACACTAACACACCGACAAGATCTTTCGCTGTCTATGGCCGGGTATCTATCTATCTGTCTATCTATCTATCTATCTATCTATCTATCTATCTATCTATCTATCTATCTATCTATCTGTCTGTCTGTCTGTCTGTCTGTTTGCCTGCCTGCCTGTCTGGCTGTCTGTCTATCTGTTAAAAGATGGTGTTGTAATTTCCCTTATAGGCCTTTTGAGACCAACTCACGCAGCTTAGTTTTGAAGTAGGGGGCTCTCGCTATATAGAATTACACCTCTCATTAAATAGGTCCGGGTTTCGAAACCTGACAGCGACGGAAAATGTTGAACTCGAAGAAAAATGTTCTACTTTCACCTCCTTCCGTGTACGAGCGTATGTATTCTATCCAAGTTCTGCCGTCTACTTTCTCCGCCACTTTCTGCCCCCCACCCAACCCCCTTTTGGCCTCTCATGTAGGCTCCCGACTCTTTCTGCAGACTTTCTACTGCTACTCCTTGGCTCTTTCTTACTGCTGTCTTTCAGCCACACCCCTGATCTAACACATAGCCTTCTCGGATAAGGGCAAAAAATAGGTCCCGTGTGCAAGTTGTGCGCGTTAAAGATAGGTGGTAAAATCTACAAAAGTAGGCTTCGACCGCCAGCAAGGCAAAATTCAAAATTAATTTCTACCAAACTGAAAATGTTTAATGTGTCCCGCGCGCTCATATGACCTTATGTAGTTGCGAGCGCTGTAAAGAGTTTTGAAGTCTTTGCAGTTTATTAATTAGTATGACTATGTGTATGTGCCTTTGCGAGTGTAGGTGAGTGCTAGTATGAGAGAATGAGTGAGTGTGCATGTGTGTGAGTGAGTGTTGTTTGAGCAATGACATGAACTATTATTATTGTCTCTTGTGACTATTCGTTTTTCTGCGTGTGATTATTAGCGATTGGATAATTAATTTTAACCCTTTAACGCTAAGGTCAAAACGAACAAGTTTGGAAAAGGATGAATGTTTTAGTTTCAGTTACGCCATATCGGTATGGTGTCTGGTCTCACCTGGGAGGCTTTTTGAGGCCGCTTGTCACGTGATTTACGTTCGACCTGCAGAGAAACGAAAGTAATGTCACATACATATTATTATGAGTGGGTGTGTTTGTGTACATGTATATAACAATATGTAAGTGTTTGTGGTGGTGGCGGCTTGGTTGGGGGTGGGGTTGGGGGGGAGCAGGTGTGAATGTGTGTGTGTGTGTGTGTGTGTGTGTGTGTTTGTGTGTGTGTTAGTGTGTATGTTTGTACGTGTGTGTATTTGTGGAGAGATGAGGATGGTGGTGGTGGCGGTCGTGGTGCTTCTGCTGCTGATACTAAAGATGGTAATGATAATGCTGAAGCTAATGATAATAATAACGATGAACCTTATTATGATGATGGGGACGATAATGATGATGAGACGGCGACGAAGGAGAACCAATCTTTAGAAGAAGAAGTAGAAGAGAATAAGAACATGATTTTTTCTAGTACTTCGAAGAATTTTGTGGGCACTTACCATCCTCCATATGCCCAAAGGCCGTTGTAGAGGGCGAAGCCGAACTGTGAAGCCGAGAACTTAGTACCCGTCATTCCTTCATTGATCACGTCCAGTTCTCCTGTCGACCAAGAATTCCGTGGGTGAATGGCAAGCGCTCTGGTGTGGTCTGTTCCTTCCTTCCTATCAAACACCTATCATCTTTATCTCTCCTCTTTCATTTTTACTTTTGTTGCTCTCTTGTAACACTTCAAATCTTCGGCACTTACATGATTTGTTGTGTTGCAAGTACAGTAAAACATTTAATAAAACTAAAAGGATATCCATGTGTTCTTTTTCTTTTGATATGTTTCCATATTTACATGAATGATATAACGTATTTGTAGTCTAGAAGCACGTTGTTCTGCTGACCAAAGATAGTAGGAGGTTTCGTTGAAACTGTCTCCACCTCCTGGCATAACATTTTAGACCTCTTCTCTGTTTTGTGACGTATACCCACCCATACCCATTGGTGCTCACTTAATTTTGTTTACTGACATTTACTTCTGTCTAGAAAGGACGTTTTAGAAGATCTGTATTTATCACTTGTGTTGTTTCTTATTCTTAATGAGAGGAAATAAATTATGTCTCTGTATGAATCTCTCTCGTCTGTATAGACATAAATGGAAACGTTTCAGAACCGAAATGCTTAAAAATAACTTTCGCTTTTCAGCACCATTGTTATTAGATTGACACAACTTGCAATATTCAGTTATTTGAAGCAGCTTCTTTTCCGTGGAAAACACGCATTTATCTCCCTTTATAACACCTTACCCCTTGTCTCCCTTTGCCCGCTAGACACCTCCCTCCCGCACTTGAACTCATCAAGCAATGATACAAGTAGCTAAGCTCATCTGAAATCACGCTATTGAGTAGAAAATGCTGGCTCGAATCCCCTATCGGGTGTTCTTATACTTAGGTTGTCTGAAAGGTTTTCAGTGTTCTCCAAACACACTCTCGGCAATGTCTTACTCGAAACAGATTTTTGATACGGAGGTTTTTGCTTGATTAACTACCCTTGGCCCCACGCATTCTATAAAACTTCCACTCGTCCACGGATGTGAACATGAAAATGAAGCAATTTTAGGCCGTTCGTCTCTCTCCATTGCCAACAGACCTAATTCTTTGTAGCCTTGTGACCAGTGGAAATTTTCCCAGTGCACACATATACTGCAACTGCAACCTTATGTTGTATAAAACGTTTCTTCTTTTCTTAAAAGTTTAATGGATAATATATCCTTGACGCTTGAAACCTTTTGAATTTACAATATATTCTGAAAATTCTAAAGTATACATATTATCTCAAATTAAACTCGTTACAACAGAGCAGAAAATAGGCTTAGGACTTGTAAGAGTTTAAACTATACCATGCCTGACTTCTTGCTGAAGGATGCGTTCAGACAGTAATATGTCAAATTAAACTCGTTACAACAGAGCAGAAAATAGGCTTAGGACTTGTAAGAGTTTAAACTATACCATGCCTGACTTCTTGCTGAAGGATGCGTTCAGACAGTAATATGTTAATTCTTTTTATTTATAAGTTGTACCGGCGACTGTGGTGTAATAGTTAAGCGCTACGCTGTGACACGCAGGAGACCCCAGTTCGATTCTTGAGAAGGGAGAAAACTTTTATCAAGTATCTCGGTCTTTCTGGTGGGATGTATCCCTCTCAGCACTGGCTGGCCTTGCCAGGCAGGGTCGGAGGTCTGCTTTCTAAATGACCTAAATTGTGTCGATTGGGGCATAAAAACACCTACTTAAAAACGCTGTCGTATTGTTTCATTCTATGTAAAATGACCGTCTTACCATCGATCATCCTCTTGATGCCCATAATGATGACGACAGCGAGAGCGCAGGTCTTGCCCACAGATGACAACATCTGGAGACGTTCGGACAGCTTCCTGGACATCAGGTTGACGAGAGCCATGGACACTGGGGGAAGGAGGGGAGGAGGGGAGGAAGGGAGGGGGGAGAGGAGGGGAGGCGGAGGGGAGGAGGTGGATTTGGGAGAAGTGAAAGAAAATTAAATTTGGGATAATAAAATTTGAAAGAATTTATTGAAATGGATATGTTAAAAAATTGATTGATATGAGTTTGAAAGGAATGACTGAGATGAATTTGGAAAAAAAATATGATTGAAATAATTATGAACAGAAATGATTGAGATGCATAATTTGAAAGAACTGATTGTGATTTTTTAATTAGAGAATATTATAATTGTTTTTGTTTTAGGTCTACTATTTCCAAGACATACGGTGACGATGTTCTCACACTCTCTCTCTGTCTATTTAAATCCAGTCTCTTTTGCTTTGGGGAGAGAGAGAGAGAGAGAGAGAGAGAGAGAGAGAGAGAGAGAGAGAGAGAGAGAGAGAAGGGGGAGGAGAGGGGGAATGGAGAAGAGAAGGAAAGAAGAGGAAGAGAAAAAAACAACCTGAATCTCTACGTTAACCCAAGTAAATGAATGACATTACGAATTCTGCCCTTTGGCAGAAGTAAAGAAAAATGAAGAAAAAGAAAACTAGAAAAGAACGTGCTTGGCTGATAAGCTCAAGCAAATATCAAACAAAAACACCTGAGCTTTTCGGTTCATGAGTGCACAGTGCAATTTAACCTACTATTGTTGTTGGCTAATCATACTACTCTAGTATACTGATATCAATGTGTGAATGTAAACCTATATTACACTGGGCAAAAAAAAACAACTTTTATTTTGGTGCTACATTGAGTTTGAGAGTTGATTTATAGTACGCCGAGGTAGCTAAATTCCAAAAATGACACCTCTATAATGCTCTATAATGTTACGTTTTTTCTCTTTTGCATGGCCACTGTTTTTGCAATATGCAAATTAAATTAGCTCAATCTTGTTCAGAGCAAAACATGTTTTTTATTTTAAATTTGAGGCATCGAAGCTTTGTGTTATCCACATCAATCATAAAAATCCTCCATTTCACAAAGGCAATAGGTCCATTAAAAGTAGTTCATTTACTGAAGTCGGAGGCAACATGGTCAAGACACCAATTTTTTTTTTTGCGGGATTGTCTGGAGTACGTTGTGTCTGGAAATTTCTTAGAATACAATGTAAAGCTTGCTATCGAGCGGGGATAAGCGCTATACAAAATGCTATTTCTTCTTCTTCTTCTTCTTCTTCTTCTTCTTCTTCTTCTTCTTCTTCTTCTTCATTCCTCAATAATTTTAATGTCTTGGTGAATATCCAGAGTCCTTGACCCTCTTGTATACCAAGATTCTGAAGTGTTTTGTTTTTGTGCACAGTAATACCGGAAGCCGTTGTTCTTTCAACCTCCGTGTCCCTGGGGCAAAAACTAGAATAGCTCTGGAATGTTTTTGATCCCACTAAGATAAATCTTTGCGATAACTCATGGTACAGGTGGAGTCGAGGGCTACTTGAAGATAAAATGGAATGAGTGAGAAGGCGAGATAAGGGTGGTTACGTTTCTGTGTGCACGGTGACATACCTACTTCTTTTACTTATCAGAACCACCCCGTCCCCTCATTTTTAAATCTTACAGCATCCCCCCCCCCACTTTCCTCAAAAAGTACGTTTAAACTATACCAGGGGCGAAGGCTGACTTGTTTGACAGGGTAATCAAAGTGAGATGGGACCAGATAGGGCCTGGATATATCACACTCAGACAAGTCACAAGAATCTTACTTACTGGAGGCGGCAACTAAACTCTGAGTTGAAGTGAATACAAATCCTGAATTCATGTTGTATGCATATTCAACCCGCTAAAATAATCGGGAAAGTATTTCATTAAATATTTATTCTATCTAACCTTAAATTTAACTTTAGATTTGAATACACGAACACCAAGGAAAGAAGCAGAGCTGTCAGTATACCAGACGGCCTAAACAATTTGGTAGAGCACGCCAATTATAATTTTTTATTTCACATTTGGCTGTTTTTGTCTAGCTTTTCGCGGTCAGGAGCCGGTGCCATAATCGAGGTCATGATCTGATTATAGGACGTTAAAAAGTCGAGGAAAAAAAAACAAGCACCCGCAGCAGTCAAGATTTATTAGGAGTTAGTTTCCCTCACATCTGTGAGGTAGACTCGACCAGTGTAACAATTAGCTTTACATAATCAGCGCGTGTGGCTGCTTATAACTGTGGCTCGAAAGGGGTGAACAGTGTATATTATGTGGCAATGAAACAGTTTTGACTGCTATGCACATGTTCCCTTCAACTCTATTGGTAGACCCTTCTAGCCTCACTTTAAGCTTACTTAATCAAAGCTTGGGACTGCTTATGGAGTGGGCCGATAGGGGCGAACAGGCTATTTATGTGGCAATGAAATGGTTTTGAAGGTTAGACATAGTCTATTGTTCATTGGTGATTATGAGCGTCTTTTTAAATTTAATTTATGAGGTTTACGTCTATGAGTGAATTTGATTGCGACAATGTTTCAAAATTA